TCTCACAAATATTCTGAGTAAAAGAGCCAGACACAAAAGAGTGCATATGATATAAAATTTATAAAAGAACTAATTAATATATAGTGACATAAAACAGATTTGCAGGGGCTGCGGTTATGGCTCAGTGGCACAGTGTTCGCCTCGCATGTGTAAGGCCCTGGGTTTGAGCATCAGCACCACATAAAAATAAATAAATAAATAAGTTATTTGTACAACTACAAAAAATAAATATTAAAAGAAAATAAAACAGATGCAGCTTCTGGAGCTTCGTGTAGAAGGTGGGGTTGTCTCTACATGGGAATAAGAGACCTTTGGAAACGCTCTCTGTCTTACTTGTGATGTAGTCATAAGTTGTTCCACATATGACAAAAAACTTTCTAACAGTATATTTAAAATAGGTAGACTTCATTGTATGTAAATTCTACCTCAAGCAATATGGCTATGAGAGATAAACACAAAACAGATAAAAACATATCATCAGTAAGCAGACAAGAAGAAGGAAAAGGAGGAGACACAATACAATGCGTGAACTTTACAATCTCTGGTAAAGAAGGGAATGGGAAGATCTGACTCAACAAGGTGAATTCCTAGTCCTCCTCACACCCTCTGCAGAGATGACTGTTGGAGGAACAGAGCAATGAGTCTCCCTAGGAGAGGGAAGGGCTGAGCTGAGGGCTGCAGCAGACTTGACAACCATTCCCCCATGGAAAATGGTTCAGCCCCAACCAGATTACAAGCTTCTTTAAATAGATTTTTAATAAAATCTGAGAGAGACAACTCACACATTCTAATATCAAGTCCCACCCATACACACAACCTTTATTCTCAAAATATAAAAATATGTGTACATAAATAAATCAACCAAACCTCAAACTGTGGTATGGAAAGCAAGATAACTAAGAGGATTTTTTAGAAGTAGTTTTGGACAGGAATACCTCAGCACAATTTTTAAAAAAAGACAACCATGGAAAAAAGAACAAAAAGAAAATATAAAGAAATAGGAAAAACTGAGTCTAGAATAAAATACAAATTTTATTCCACTGAATTTTACTAAAGAGAACTATGACAGGTATTTCATGATTCAAATTTATCTCATAAAATGAATACATTACATTAAAAGCTCAAATACAAGATGACAAAATAACAGTGAAATCAAAAGAAAGACTGCAAAGCAAATGAAATAAATTTAAGACAAAATAAATTTTACATCAGATAAATTAGAAAAAATAAGAATCAGAAGAGGACTCTGGAATTTTTAAAAAGAAAATGCTTGACAAAAATCTCAAATAGGCTAGAAAACTATATGTAGATATAATACAAGACAAATTCTGTGAAATGAAAAAAACAAGTGAATATACGTAGTGCAAGAGCACTTTTGTGTCTCAGGAAAATCTGATTCAGATGCGTAGCACTTAAGCATATTCAATTTAACCTGTGAGTCCTATCAGTAAAAAAAGAATTCTCCCCTTCCTCCAGGGTGATTTCCCCAGAGATACAAAATATGTCCTCCAAATACTATATCCAGACAAAATGTTGTTCACATAAAAGTGCAGAAATTCTCAAACATGAAAGAACTTGGGTTTCAAAGCATCCAGAAACTCTTTCTGATTACAGAACCAGAAGATTAAAGCTTGAGGACTCAAATTAACGAACTCAGAACATAGAAATAATACAGAGTTCAGGGGTTCTCATGGACTCTATCTAAATATTTACATATTAAATTAAATACTGTAGGAATTATTGCCTCAGAATTAAATGTAAAAACTAAAAATCTTGAAAATATAAAAATTATAAATAATAAGTATTTGGTGGTATAAACAGAGAGGTGGGAGAAAATGTGAAAATGTCCTCAACTTTCATGACCTAAAACTGAAACTTGTAATTCAAAAAAGGGAAGTCCAATATCTCTTAATGTCTCTTATGATCTATTTCCTCAATATTTGAGACCACCATTATAAAACATTATCTCTTATTTTAAAACAATAAGAGCAACAACTTTTATTTCAAATTCAACAAATGTTCAGTTTTAGTTTAGTTTCTCTTTCTGAGGGTACATAAGACAAAATTAAAATTCAATATTTTGTTTATAACAATGCACAAACATAACCTTGGTAATATTTAATTTATACATTGTTATATCAATATAAAGTTTCTGCAATAACATTCAATTTAATGTTAGCAATGTTTATTTCTAATGGAATTTGAGGCGATGGCCTTTGCCTTCTTTTAAAAGACTTCCTCTGTATTACTTGAGCTCTTTATAATAAGCCAGTGTGATTTTTAAACTGTAAAAATGCAAAGTAATTCTCCTGCAAATACAAAGAAAAAGGTCTTTCAATTGTCTTTTAGAACTAGAACCAATAACACTTTCCATCACATAAACCTCACTGGAGCTTCATACTCTGTTAATATTTGGTATAACAGAGAACACAAAATTTACCTAAATTCATTACTTGATCTTTTATTTGATCTGTGATTTTTTTTTTTATTTTCCTTATGCCTTGCCAGGTCTGTTAGGAGACAGAGAAAAATTGCATCCCCAGAACAGACAATAAAAATAAGACAAGATGTTATTCTTTAGTTTTTATCAATCCACCCTCTAAATTCTAAGATTGCTACAAAATGTTGAAAAGAAAATGCAGTACCTAATTAGTTAGTTGTGATAATGAAAGCAATTAATTAGTTGTGATATTTAAAGCACTAAGAGTAGATTTAGGGTCTTGTGTTATATGACATTCTTTTTTAACACTATATCCTGAAGGCCCAGTAATATTAATTTTCAGTAATATTACTCTCAGCAAAATAGAAAAAAACACCTAACTCATTTCTCTCTTTTGGTCATTTAGCCAGTACCAGGTTGGCTTGGCCTTCATGATCATTTACGTCACTATGATGATGAACTATATTTGAAAGTCTCATTCAAACACCATTCCATTGGTGATGTTGATAGTTAAGGCAATTATGAGTGTCAGGGTTGGGGTTTATTGGAACTCCATGATTTATGAATTCTGCTGTCAACCTAAAATTGCTCCATAAAATAAAATTCATTATTTAAAAAATCTAAACATGCTATTTAAAATAGAGGTTCTTTTTGATTCATATTTTCAAAGAAAAAATTTAACCACAAAGTTAAATGTTTTTTCTCCGCAATGACAGTTTCAAAACTGGCTGTGTTTTGTGGTACAATACTCCCTGTCTTTCCAAGTGATGGAAACCCAACTTCAGCCTTTCCTGGAGATGATCAAAGTCATGGACACTGGTAATGCTCTTCAGGAAATGGGAGCCAAGTATTTTTAGAGGCTTCACACAAGTCCAACAAAAAAAAAAAAAAAATGGGCCACAGAGTGCATTTCATTCATCTTGTAAACACATAGCTTTGCAGATCCAATCCTTTTCAACTTTCTCTCCAATAAACCCATGATTAGGAAAAGCTCCTATTTAATATGCAAAAAAGCATTCTAAACAAAGAAAATTCTTGGGGCTGGTGTTGTGGCTCAGTGGTATAGAGTGCTTGCATAGCATGTGTGAGGCCCTGGGTTCGATTCTCAGCACTGCATATAAATAAAGATAATAAAGGTCCATTGACAACTAAAAAAAAAAAATTAAAAAAAGAAAGAAAATCCTTTAAGTAAAGGACAATATGATATCAATATTTGGGGCGTGGGGTTGTAGTTCAGTGATAAATCATTTTCCTACCATACTCTAGCCCTGGATTTGATCCCTGGCACCATAAGACAAACAAAAACACAAATATTTTAAAAACAAGATTATAACCTAGTATTTTTAGAATTGCACTTCATGTGCTACTTTGATCTCTATTAATATTTAAGTTATTATGTGTATGATTTTGACTAAATACATTATTCTCATTTTGAAATGTCCTGATTACAAAATTATTATATATATGGATATGGATATGAAGAAGAGACCAGAGTATGAACCCTAACTTTCCCATTTCTTACAGTATTACATGATGTTGAACAGTTCCATACTCTCTTAGTTTTTTTATTTCTTCCTCTATAAAACTCAGATTGAATGTCCTTTCTACCTACTAGAATTGTGTAAAAATAAATTAAATAAAACAATGCATGTGAAAACACTTAGAAAATTACAAAGCAATTTACATAAGTATGTACTTATAATGTAGACAAACTCTTCTGTTCTGGTGGTCATGGGGTTGTTTAGATAGAAACAGTAAAACATATCTATGAATGATTAATTTAAAAAGAATGCCCTCAATTGATAATTTATATCCCTGCAACAATTTGAGGGAAAAAATGATACCATATTTATATTTCCCTTAACCATTTGCATTTCACCATATCCTCATTTTACCTGTTTTTTATTCTTAAATACACTCTCTGAAAATCTTTGTGTATACTTTTGTCTAATTAGATCAGTCCCTTTTATTTTGAAAAGTCCTAATTATTAGAAAATTCTTTCTTACATAAAAACGTATCATGCCAAAATTTCCACCACTATTCCAATTCTTCTTACTGATATTCCAAGAACAGACAGAATGCTTTTTTAACATCAACTTTAATATATCCTAAGCAGCATTCTCCATATCTGCCTCCCCTAAAAACATTCATTGAGCTTCTCTCCTTTCTTCCTTTCAGTATTTCTCTGTGATGCAATTTGCAATTCTACTGGAGAGTCCTCTTGGAAATTTGCACCTGGTTTGCTCTGAACTTTGCCCCATGTACCCTCCACTTTGTTCATTTTTCTTTGTATCCTTCCACTGTAATGAACACTGTCCATGAGTACAACTATATGCTGAGTCCTTTAGGTCCTCCTAGAAAGTCACTGAACCTGAGGGTGGTTCAGGAGATCCTCAGTGCAGCAATCAAGAAGTTTATCTGATCTCCCCACTTACAAGAAATCAAATAGAACAGTACATGTAATAATTCCATTCCATAACAGGTAATGATTGCAATGTAAGAATAAAGACCACCCTTCTCTGAAGTACATGACCCACATGACATCCATCTACCACTTACGTGACTGGTCTGTAGATCTCCTTAACACCGATGAACTGAAGTTGTTCCATGATGTCTGGAATACTTGCACATCGGGTAAGATTAATTCTTGGGTAATAAAGAAGGTATGAGAGACACATTTCACTCCTAGTGCTCAGACCTCCCTGAAATGCAGATATTTTAATTAGCAAAATATACATTCCACCAAGTTTGAGACACATAACACAAAAGACTCTAACATCGTGCAAAAGTACCTTCCAATTCCAAAACATATTACGTTTCTACAGCTTTTCATTACACATAATATTCAATTTATTAAAGTGTGTATCCCCACACAATCTATGGTTCAATGTTGTATGTTCTTGAGCTTTTACATGCATTTCACATTACATGTATCCTGTGCAAACCTGCTCTTTCAATCAATACTGTGTTCTTCAGATAGATTCATGTTAACATGTGTAGTTTTATTTAACTGATTTTCATAACAATATGCTATTTTGTTATATGGAATATGTAATCATGTATTCATTTATTCTGCTTTTGATGGGTATTTGAGATGTACCTCTTTTTTGTTCCTGTATTATTAAATGTTACTATGAATATTGTACATATTTCTTTCTTGGAATACATTCTGCCAATGTTACCCCAAGGGTAAATCTGCATAGAAACAGAACTAGGCAGAGCATATGCAAAGCTCCAACTTTACTAGGTTATATATTTTTTTATGTTATGTTTCTCCTCAGTTATTTTACAAACTTACACTCCCATTAACTGTGAATGAGTATTGCAGTTTTGACACACTAGAAATACAACTTTAAATGTTGCCAATATGGTGGGTTTAAAATACCCCATTCCTGTTTACATAGGCATAACCCTATGTTCAAAGAAAATTTAACATATATTCCTATATGAATTATTTACTCATGTTTTAATTTCTGTGAATTTTTTGTCTTTCTCTCTGTTCTATTATATGCTTGTCTTCTGTTAGTGATTTATGGAATTTCTTTTATATGCTATATATTAATACTTTGTTAAAATGATGTATTAAAATATTTATTTTCAAAATAAAAATTGTCTTTTCATTTTCCTAAGAGTATCTTTTGGTAACAAAATGCTTCAAGGCAGCTAAATTCATCAGTTTTTTATTTATGGTTTGTGTTTTCAGTTTCATTTTTTAAGAAATTCTTTACTACTCAAAAGTAATTTAGATATATTCAAACATGTTTCTTTCAATTTTTGTTGGTTGGTTTGTTTGTTGCTACTGGCAATTGTACTCAGGAGCACTTTACTGCTGAGCTATCACCAGTATTTTTACATTTTTATGTTGAGACAGGGTCTTGACAAGTTTCTTTTTTTTTTTTCTTTTTTCTTTTTTTTTTTTAAGAGAGAGAGAATTTTTTTTAATATTTATTTATTTATTTTTTTTTTTAAGTTTTCGGCAGACACAACATCTTTGTTTTATGTGGTGCTGAGGATCGAACCCGGGCCGCACACACGCCAGGCGAGCGCGCTACCGCTTGAGCCACATCCCCAGCCCATTGCAAGTAACTTGAGGCCTTGCTAAGTTGCTGAAGCTGCCCTTGAACTTGTGATCCTCCTGCCTCAGCCTCATGGGTTGCTGAGATTACAGGCATGTACCACTGTGCTCAGCCTTCCAATGGTTTAAAATTTTGCTCTTTGCATTTAAATATTTAATCTATCTGTAATTGATTTTTGTGTATTTTTTTGAAATGAAGACCCAATTTTATTTTCGTCATATGGATACTCAATAGTGCCAGCATCCTTTAATGAAAATTCCACCCTTTCCCATTGATCTGAATGCTCTGTCTGTGAGTCTATTTTTGGAAACCCAATTATTTTCCACTGTTAACTCTGAATCTAAACCACATTGTACTAATTACTACAGCTTTAAAATAACTTTCATAATTAGTTAGTTTATTTCCCATCTTGTTCTTTTTATCAGTCTTGCTTATTGCAAATCCTTTGCTCTTTTAAGTAGATTTTAGAATCAACTATTTCCATATACAAGCTAAAAATAAAAACAGTTTTTAAAAATAAAAAAAAAAATAGGAGAAGGTGAAGAAGAAGGTGGCTAGGTGAAGATTTTTTAATTAGGATACCAAAAGCTGTAAACCATGAAAACATTCTAAATTATCTTTTACTGGAATTATATCAAATCTAAGTTCATAAAATGAGCTGGTGGGAGGCATTCTGTCTTATTGTGTTTTGTGGATGAGACTGAGCAAGGCATGAATTATCTCTTTTGGAAGGCTCAGCAGAACTACTCACTAACTCCATTGGGACCGGATCTCTCTTTGGTTCAGGCTCTGAGATCATGTGGTTCATTCTTCCCTTTGAAGTCTAGATTTATCTAATTCCCAACTGGAGTCATCAGTTAATGACCCATGTCTTATCACACTTGGTGAGGAGAAGCTAAAAGACTAAGGACAGCTTTTCATGAAAGAGTCCATAAATTATACTGCAGTTATTACCATAATATCAGTCATTATTTAGTAACTAAATCACCTCTGATTTCACCTTTAGGATGTTCCAGACTTTTCTTTTCAAATAGAAATGGTTTCTGAATTTGTTCTTTAAAGACCAAAGGTTATTTCTTCAGCTTCATAAGTGAACTTTAATTATCATAAAACCCTTCTTACCCAAGTCATCCCGACTCTATCCTTGGTGTTGTAGCGACATTCAGTAATTAGGTTATCTCCCTAAAACATAAAAGGAAAAGCTTTCAGGCTGAAGCTTTATGCTGTTTCATTTGTAGACCAACAGTCAATACATGCTGTATGAATGGATGCTTCTAGAAGTTTGATTCAAGAGAAGATCAGGCCAGACTCCACAGTATTCTAGCTGGATAATTTATATAGGAACTGAAGAGTGATTTTGCACAGCTACTGAGAAACTATTAAGTGATATATACATGTTTAGTTCTTAGTAGAGATTAAATATTTAACGAAATGTTAGTCATAGATTCTAAGTATTGTGCTTACTTATTCATTACATCATTTTATGTAGTCATGACTTTATCATACAACAGAACTTGTAATGATTTATTGTTTTCATGATTTCCAACCTTTGAACTTACAACACCCACGCAGAATGTATTTATGGCTCCTCATTCAGGAAAGTGGACGGAACACGGAACAACCGTTCATTGAAGCAGAGGCTGCCGTCTATGGGCAGTAGCCCCTAGATTTGCTTTACCTGCCCTGCTACTCAGAGGACTGAGAGGTCAGTATCCTACTCATGTAACCATTTAGGAAGTTCTGAGATAACCACCATAAAACTGGTTGGATGTAAGGGATAATCCTTAAAATATCGAGGTCCCTTTTCCTCTTCGTAGTTTTTCTGCTTTTCACCTTTTCCTTCACAACTTCTTGTGCTGTGACTTCGCCTGGCAGTTCACCCCATCTAAAAACCCTGTATCCAGTATTATGTAGAGAAGATGTTAATGTTACAGTCACTTAATAAAAATTGTATAAGAATCTGACTTTTAAGAATGCATCAAGGGTAGAAAATGATGTGACTACTGAGCTTGAGGGCCATGGAATAATATATTTGAGAAAATGAAGCATCATAAAATTAAAGGAATAAAAAGGTGTCACTGTTTTAAGATGTGAGATTTTCTTCTATCCTTCCACCATAACCTCATTTGTTGTTGCAAGCGGAGGTGCACAGCAGAGTGTAATTAACCATCTGAATACCTTTGTAAAATGAAAGAAATACCTTACATTTTTAATTTTTTTACTGAAATGAAACTTCAAAAAAAATCCTATTCTTCAAGATAGTATAAAGAAAAATCCAATTTCATCATTACGAGAATTGCAACCCAAAGAATCACTAACTAGGGAATCAAGAAAAAACGATTCATGCTTAGTAATCAGATTTTGCTGATTGTTGAGGGTCTGTTGTTGTTATTTGATTGTTGTTTTCTGTTTTTCTTTATTTTTAAATCAAGAACTTGAATTTCCCATGAGAATAGTAATAAAAATGAGTTGTGATTTTGGAAAGCAGATCAAACACATTCCCTTTGAGTTATGCAATATCCACAGTGGGTGGCTTTCAGGCTATGGGTATGGTGAGCAATTCATTTCACTGGTAGAAACTTTGCTACATCTCAGCTGATAAATGTTCTCATGACTTTTAGAAGAGTCAGTGAAAAAGAACAAAAACATGCATACTGGTAAGATTGTTTGTTCTTCCTTTAGATACTGAAACTCCTGGAAATTGAAGTCAAAGTCATCATCATAAGCAAGTAATTTCATTTCCTCCCCTTTGCGAAAATGACGCAGCCTGATGCCTCTGCCAGCCAGGTGAGCATGGAGAAGAACAGCGAACACGTGGATTCCACTTGGCTTTTCAGCTTCCAGAGCCTGCGGGGGACAGCGAGGAAGAACTGATGAGCCCAAACAAGTGCATGTTCAGACAGTGCACCTGAAACATACTTGGAGGGACAACTGAGAAGAAAAGCTAAGACAATTCAAATGAATGGTTGAGCTGCCAAGCATTGTGAATCTGGATTGTTCAATGTTCTCTTTGTAAAGCGAATCTGCCAGGAGACAAGAAAGGGAACCTACCATACCACACCTAAACATATCCTTCCTTTACCTTCTTTTAGGAAGCAAAGAGGCAGTCAACACTCCTGGCAAAACGATTCTAGCATGCCAGTAACCTGAAAATGGGAACTCTAGAAAAGAGGATTCTATGCCCCCCGACTTTACCAGATAAGACCAGCATGGTCAGTAGAATGAATGAGATTCCCTTGGTTCTACAGCTAGTAAATGTTGCCATGGCAGTTCGAGTCTTTTGATCAAGATATCAAGATATCTAGATATCTAGATATCTTGGTCTAGATAGCTCAGAAGAGCATAATTTTTTCACTTCACCAATTTCCCATACTACCCACAACTGCAGTATCTTAGAGTTCACAACGACTATGATCCATATTCAAATACTTCAAGAAAAAGGATTATAAGTAAAAACAGTCATTATTATATTCATGTTTTTCCTTAAACAATATGTATTTCTACAATAGTTACTCTTGCTCTTTGGTGAAAGAGGAAAGGAAACTGGAAAGCAGAAAAAAAATTAAAATGAATTATGGAAAAATTAAGTGTGAATAAAAGGCAGAGAAAGAAAAAAGAGACTTTGAAAACAAAGGAAAATTTGTGACAATGACACAAAAGAAATTGTGGCAATGACATAGTGTCTGATATGAAACAAAGAGGTCAGAGTAGGAAGGAAAGCACCTTGCAGTTATCCTTGCCTCCTGAATTCTCCTCCTGTAGCCTTCAAGATTTAAAAAGGCAGTTGAAAGTCATGCTGAAATGACAATCATGGCTTTACAAGATACAAACAAGAAAAAGATCCATAATAAACAAGCAAGGAATTCTTCACATCATAGTTGCTAAGAGCATTGTTTAATATGTAGACAGTAGCTCACAGACATGGACACTGCGTACCTCCTGTAGGCATTCCAGAGTACAGTGACCCTCGGACCGGAACTCAGGCATCCCTGGAGGGATGGTATGGAAAAGGCTCACCCAGAGGCCAGCTTCGATCACCCCAGCATCATATTTCCTTATATCCATCGTATGAAATAACCTTAGCCCAGAACTATCTATTAAGCCTGGAACAAAAGCACATAATTAAAAGTGAGTTGGGATTCTTAAAAAGAAAGTTTCTATATTCAGTTGAAATGGATTCACTCATTTTCTGTAAAATCTCACAAGGTTAAGGAATACAAGAAGAGATTAATGGACCCCAGCAATCATTCATCAACAGAAATTAAAACATGGGTCGCCATATTGTTTGCAACCTTGGTAAACTCACAGGCAAACTAGGGAGAGATGTTTGAGTTACTGAGCTGATTTATTTCACAGTTATCTAATGTAGAGAGTAGAAACTACAGCCATTCATTAGAACATAGAATAACCCTCCAAAAGTTTTATTTCATATTATTTAGAGATAAAGTTCAATATCATTTACTTAGGGGTACAAATCCCTCAGGCTAGAATCCATCTGCTAATAAACTACTAAAGATTAACTTTCTTTATAGTTTGCCACCATTCTCTTATGTTTTTAAGTCATTCAATCAACACACTGGTATTACATCTATTACATTTACTACTGTGAACAGTAAGTACTACATTAGGCAGTGTGAAGATTAAAAAATAAATAAGGCACACTCCTTGGTTATTATGAGCAGGGAGAATTATAAATCTGTTCCACTAACTTTGAAATTAATTGACTTCCTTCACAATACTGAGTTTGTACCTACAGCCTTAAGAAGTTTCTAATTCCAGGAAGACTTTGTAGACCACCCACCACATACTCCTGGCTAGATCAGGCCACCAAGTTAAATCTCTCGGAGTGCCAGTTACCACCCTTTTGGATCAAATGACATATGTTTAATTTTACATTAATTTCTATGAGTATCTGATTATTGCTCTTTCCAACTGAACTCTAATTTCTATGTGGGTGGGGACACTGAGTTTTTCACTCATATGATATCCTTCAACTCAAATTCATAGCATATTGGTACTCAGTATTTAGAATAATGGCATAAATCAAAGTAAAATAATTACTAGAGGTTGCTTCTATTGACAATTTCACATTGAACTTATCATTCTTTAGTTTTGGAATATTACATAAGTAAATCAGAAATCAAATGCATGTCTTTACACTTATCTCTCTACCACATGACATAGTTGCACTACATAGTTCTTGAATATATTTGACTTGCCTGCCACATAACAAAATGCTTAATATTTTTAATATGATGGACGGAAGCTTTTCCATATGGATAGTTAAACAGAAAATGTTTTATGAGCATCATATATTTGGAACTAATTTATTACAGAGGGGAAAAAGGTTATTACTGAACTTCCTAATAGGTATTGGAATGACCACACATACCCATTTGCCTGGTTTGTGCTGGTTAATGACTACTGTCCCAGGGTAATTATGGATAGTAACCCCTTTCACTCCAAAAATGATCCTAGTTTGGATGAAAAATGTTTAGGTTCATTCTTTCTAATATTGGTTGCTATTTTGCTTCACTTCTGTTAAAGACAAGTTACAAAACTTTCTTAAACTCATAGGTAAAATATATGAAGAATGAACTCACCTTTCTTATGTGTCGGGTTATCATAGTGGACTTCTAGAAGCACATAGTGAGGATCTAATGGAGTGCCAAGGGATAATCCAACATGAGGTGGATAGGAAAAACCCTAAACATGGAAAAATCCATGAGTCAGTGTCCTTTGAAAGTCCCTGAGCTCAAACATTCTCAAAGATATTTCAACCTTTTAGAACAAGATTACTCAATCATTGATCAAATAAAATGACTTAAGGAAAGAATCCTTTCCTTTGAAAATAAAAATACTCCACTCTCATATCAAAAAATAGTATGAAAAACTTTACTTATAACTATTAGCACTCTATTATGTGAGAGGGAAACATGATGATTGTGTTACAACTCGGTAATTATCAGCCCCACCTCTCCACCAATGGCCCAGGCAAAAATCACAGTCTCGCAGGTGAGGAAGGCGTCGGGCATGTTGGGGTGGTAGCACTCATGGCCATAGTCCAGGACACTGTCATTGAAGCTGCTGCTGCACTGATAGAGCAGGATGTGGTGGACCAGGTTCTCATGGCCCCGATGTATCACTGGCTCCACCTACACAAACACAAAGGAGATGGGGATGCTATCGATGAAAACACCCTGTGATATCCCACCACAAGCACAAAACTAGCATGGATGACTATCTGTTCTTCAAAGGGATATTCTCAAGTCAGGTGAAGATTATGTGGTTCAAGTATAATCTGTTCTGGAGACTATGATGATGATGGTGATAATCGTGATGACAACAGCAACAACAAAGATTAGTTACCATTCACTCTGAGAATGACAGGACTTTGCTAATCTGCTCTCTTTGTTTTAAATTCACTTTTGTTTCCATTTACCCATTCTGCAGAGCTGCTGTTTCAAAACTTGCTCACTCTCTCTTCTAGGCTTCACTGAACATTGCTCCTCCTCCCTCTTCCCCCTTTCCCCCCCGCAAATAGAAGGGAAAAAAAAAGAAGAAGAAGAAAACATATCTTACTCTCCTCCACCTCAAAAAGTTATTTTACACATCTCTACTAGAGATTACAGATGGTGTCTCATTCATCTTTATAAATACATGGGAGTGGGCACAAGGTAGGGCTCAAAAATGGATATTTTTATTTTAATGATAAATAAAACATTCTAATAACAATTTTATTATTAGATGTTTGGAGAGAAAAAAAAAAACTCAAAACCATGTTGTTAACGATGTGCTCCTGGGACAATGTGTGACTTGAGAGGGGGAAACTGGAAAAGGGTTAAAATAAAATGGGCAAGGAAGTTGGCTTGGTTCTTTGCCTTGCCAGGCTGGAAGTGTAACCATTAGCTAAAGGGTTCTGTCAATCAAGAAGCCCTGGTGTGCTCCTAGATTTCCAACAGTTTGGCTGTCTTAGAGATCATCAACATTTGTGTCATTTGCTCTAATCAGTCAAGTGCAGACATTGAATTTTCAAACCTTTGCCTGATCTCAATTTTAGACTTGCATATTTAGATGAAGTGTTTTTAACCATTTTCTCTGAGAGTTTTGCATTTTTAAAAATATTTTTCCATAGCTTTTCTCTTTTCTGTAAGAAAATGTGAGCAGCCAAAAGGGAAATTGTATGTAGTGGGTAGAGGTCTGAAACGAGCAGCAAAAGAATTCAGGTTTTTAAATTCTGTTTTGTTTTGTGTGACATGATGAATCACCCATAAACTCACCCATACTTTTTTTTTACATCATATTCATGGAAATAACATTTCACATGGTTTTGTTTGTACTTGTCTTGTCTGTAAAAGATCATGAGCCCTGAAGCCAGAAATGATTTTCTATTTTGCTTGAAAATGACAGTTATTGTGCAAGCACAGTTGCAAAATAAACAATGATTGCACAGAAGTGTAACCCAGAATTTCTATTAGAATATAGCTTCCATATCTAGATTGAGTTGTTCTGTGAGACTGGACTTATTTGGGTACCTCAGTACTCCAAAGGATACAGGGCACTGATAATACATCAACAGCAAAATATTCAGACATGTAAGATTTTTGCTAAATGCCTTATAAGTTTAGGAGAACTTGAAGGTTGTACTGATCTCTACAAGGAAGGCCCTGCAAAGGAGCCAATCAGTTTCGAGAGAGTTGGCTGCTGTCAAGTCAGCCTCAGGGAACTAGAAGCCTTTGTTGAGGCATGGTGACAGGAGCTAAGAGTGTGGGTGATGATGCTGGCAGGTATGGAACTTCAAATAAATTGTTAAAAAATATTTTAAGAGGAAGTGTTTTTGTTGTTGCTGTTGTTATAAGAACAATTGAAACTAACACCAAGTTCCCAGGCTACCAATACATTCTTTTATTCCATACCTACTATTTCTACAGATACCACAGTAGTTATTCCATATATTTCACTTAATATTTATAACATATCTATAAGCTAAAATGTTATTAGCTTTCTTTTCTTACTGATGTGAACACTGAGACTCAGAGAGATCAGGCAACAAACCATAGTACCACATTGTGATTTGAAACTAGGCTGCTCTGATAGCACAATCTCTTTTACTGCAGTGCATAATTGCAGAAGATGTGTTGGAGGGGCACCAAGGACCCCAGAAGTTGCTGCCAGTGGGAGGGAGGATGAACACCTTCAATAAAGCAGGCTAGCAGGCAACATCTATCATCAGTGGAAGTGATGCTACTACTAGTTAAGGCCAAGAGGTTCCCCTTCGAACCACTAGCAAGAACCACCACACAACCCTTCCATCAAAGAACCATCACCAGTGTAATAGCAGTATGCTGAGTGTCTGCTGGTCTCTGTGCCACCCCCTTCCCATAGCTTGTCATTGTGCTCTTCCCTAAAGAGAGCAGACACCAAGGCCTCTGTTTGAAACCTGGTAAGATCTTCAAGGAGAATTCAAGTCTAATCTGACTTCTGGATGACAAACTGAGGGTTCCACCTGAAAAAAAAAATGAGGATTTCTTGAGAAAAGAACTACTTATAAAAGAACAAGGAAACTTTCTGTGAACCTGGGTGCTGATGGTGGAATAATATAAAAAGGCTTGGAAGAAACAAGTCCTTGGCAACATTGAGAGGGTTTGAGAGCTGAGACAAAGAAAAAGAAAGGCTGTCTTGATAAGCAAGGATGGCCTGGCCCTTCTGGGTGATCTGTGAGCCAAGGTGCATGGCAGAAGAACAGCCTTGGAACCAAAACACAGAGGAGAAAGAGAGGGGAAGACTTCAACCTGAAGGACTTTTTAAAAGACTTTGTCAATTCAGCACAGAGCTTTGGGATACACTTGTGAGGTCTTAGCAGTAAAATAGAAAAGAAAGAAACAATACCATAAAGCTGCCAAAACAGGGAAAGATCAAGGAGGAAATTAACACTGACCGTAAAACTGAACCTGGAGAGTCAAGAGCTCCTATTTATACTGATTTTCCTGACCCCATTATCTCTTACCATCTCTATGCAGGTCAAATAGGCACAAGACAGCCCCTGCAGCACAGGGCATCTGTAGTAACTATTCACTGAACTGAACATGAAGCCAGCATCAATGAGGTAGGGTCCCTAAGTTTCCTTCCAGTTTCTTGATTATCTCAACTCCAGTACTTTCCTGGCATCTCATATGAGCGACTAAATCTAACCCTCACACCCCTGAACTGGCCATGTTTTCCCTCCCCTTAAATTCTTTCCAACCCTCGTTCCTGATCTTTCAGCTTGTTCACATCTTTCCAGTCACTCAACCCACCATCTTCTCCCGGGAGGCCACCTGTGTGCCTCGCCCACAGATCCCTTACGCCTCATTGGCACACTGCCAGCTGTGGCTCAATCCTGCAATCTGCCCTTCTGAGTCTCTACTTAGAACGCTGAGGATACACTTTCTTTTCTTTCCTTTTTTTTTTTTTTTTTTTTGCATCAAACAAAAAACCTTTTAATTTTAATTAATTGGATAATTATGTCTATGGTCCTCTTTACTAAGAGAGTGTGTGTATGTAAATATATATACACTTAGTAAAAATATACACACTTAGTTCATATATATGAACATATAGATATATGTTCAACCAGGGAAAAGCATTTAAAAAATACTTTGGCTGCCTGATTAACCAGAGTCAATAAATGCTTTGTTCTCAATACTTATTCAAAAGGTTTTCCTCCGTGAATTACAATAATAGGCTTTGTTGTGACATATTTATACCACAGCAAAATTTGATCTACTTCATTTCCCTATGTCTCCTTTTTCCTTTCTCTTCCTCTCTCCCGCTAGTCCCCACTCTCTATTATTACTGGTCTCCCCTCTATTTTCATGAGCTACGTTTTCTCCACTTTTCCTGTCTGTCTTCCATGTATGAGAGAAAACATGAACATTTACATTCTGCCTACGTGTCCGTCAGCAGATGAGTGGATAAAGAAAATGTGGTGTATATATACACCATGATGTTTTACTCTGTCATGAAAAGTGGCATTATGTCATTTACAGGAAATTAAATGGAACCAGAGAACATCATGCTGAAGAAATAAGCCAGACTCAGAAAGTCAAAAGGTGAAGATACACTTTTATAACCATTCTTATGAGACCTCAAATTTTATAACTCATACTTTTGCCTTGGTACATCAATCTTTATTTTGTTCTGAATTCTGTCCTGTCCCCTGAAGTGGCTATTCTGAACGTTTCCCAGCCTATGCACACTTCCTACTCTGCACTTCGTAAATTAATTAATTATTTGGATGAGACAGAGGGAATTTCTTCCCATTCTGTAGCTATGTAGTTGCATGAGGGCAGATATGGATGCAACTTCGTACCAAGGACACAATATAATTGCAAAATCTTAAGTGCAGCAATCCATTCTAGGATGTGTGTGTGTGTGTGTGTGTGTGTGTATTGGAGATTGAACTCAAGGTGTTGTAAGTGGTAGGCATGCATGCCAATGAGCATCCGCATCCCAGTCCCCATCAACCCATTCTATATATTCATCTTTAAATGAATGAAGGAACAAAAATGATTCAAAGAATCTGTACTTGGTGGAGCCTCACAGAGTGGGTTGAGACATGGAAAAACAAGAATCAAGTGACTGAGAAGTGGGTTAAGACAAAAAAAAATTAAGTGTTGCAAAATTCCATAGTACTTAAAGCCAACAAACCATTTCAGAACAGGAGGTAGGAAAATCTTAGGGGAAACATCATTCTTCTGTCTTTGAAGGAAGGGTGTCCTTGACAAAACTGTGCCTCTTTGCTTGTCCCCTACCACCAGCACTGACTGAGAAAACAGATTTGGTTCTGAAAGGACTTATTTTTGAAAGTAGCTGAGAATCAACAAACTTACAAATCCATATGCAGTCCTCCAACAGCCACTTACCTAAACATTAGCACCTGCTGAAAGAAACACATTTTTTTTTACCTAATTCTACTTATTGATGAACAGCATCTCCTCAAAATTTGTGTTCACTTGGTCAAAAAAGTTTAACACCAAAAAACCAAATAACCCCAAAAATAAATGGATAAAGGAAATGAACAGACACTTCACAAAAGAAGAAATACGATCAGTTAACAAATATATAAAGAAAGTTCAAAATCTCTAGCAATTAGAGAAATGAAAATTAAAACTAC